CGTTGGTTGATCACTTAAGTTGCGTTCCACAACTTTTACTGGTAGCACAACATCCATGTTTATTTGGATTTCTTAATTAATCCAAGACATTTACTTATTCTAGGTCATAAGGGCATTTTGGTCATTTTGGTGCTCAACATTTTTCTATTCATTTCAAAGCTTGAGTATATCCATTCATTCCTGAGCTTGGTGACATTCTTGAGTCATTTTCATTCCAAGGGTATTTTGGTCATTTTATAATTCTAGAATATTTCAATCATTTCCTTTCATCCGATCTTATTATTTAATTCAATCTTATCATTTACTTCAGTCCTTTCGAACAATTCTGACAACTGAATACCTCCGATAAATTACTCTTCAAGTATTTACTCCTTATTCGAATATTTTCGAGTCAAGTGTCTTCTCAGATTTTACAAACGGAATATTATAAATTTTCCTGCACAAAGACATGATCTTAACAATTAAATTCGTACTTAATCAAGTTAAGTACAAATCCTCAAAATACTCTCTCATTCAGGGTCAATTCAGACTATTTTATCTCTCAAGGGCATTTTTGTAATTTCTTAACCAGATAATTTCAATATTAGCTCTTAACGAAAATAATTATAATTTAGAGATCCTATGATCAATTGCTTTCTAGAACATTCTCTTATCTTGAAACAATTCCTTAATAGAATTCTAATATCTTGCACGAACCCTCTAGGGGTTAAAAACTGGTTATCCGTATTTCGTAAGAAAAATCTAGCATTTCTTAAGCACATCTGTAGTTTTATCATATCAATATATCCTTCCAGAGTTATTAATCAATTTCCAGGGACAATTCTTGACATCTTACAACTTAAGGGTATTTTCGTAATTTTACCCTATCAGAGTATTATCATAATTTCCCATCCAAGTACTTTTAACATTTAACCATTTGATGAAATAAACTATAAGTTACAAATCTATGTTGATTTCTTTATCACTAAGCACAGAACTTGTAATTTAATTCTAACAATCCCTCAATTTCTTATAAAAATCATATAAACCATAATCAATTACTGAACCCTTTTACCGTATTCAGATTGAGTGTAGAAACTAATTGACTACACAAATGAGACCAACATTATCTTAATCATGCATTTACCAATATTCACATGTTCCATAAAGCATAAAGAGGTAGTAAAGTATTACCTCGATTTTCGTACAATATTGATCGACCATAAAAATTCCATTCGAATGCCTTTGATCTTCAATTCAACTTCCAATAATTCCTCAGATACATATCAACATAAATTATATAAAAAACGGAGCTTAATTACGATAAACGGATCGAATCGGGTGATAAATCAGTGAAAAACAACTTACCGGGTTCGAATTTGGTGAAACGGACTTCGGATTCGGATTCAGGACGTCGAAAGCATAAAATATGACTTTTCAGAAATTTGGAATTTTCGGTCAAAATCAAAGTCAAAGGGTTTGACCGGCAATTTCGAGGTCTTCTGGTTCGAATTTCAAAAAACGGACAGCAGAATCGGATTTGGAACGTCGAAAAAATGTCAGGACAGGTATACTCGGTCAAAGTTAAAGGTCGTTTAATGCCCGGTCAAAGCCAGTCAAAGTTTTGGTCAATAGTGGTCAACGCCGGTCAACGGTCAACGTGTCGGGTCAACGGTCAACGGGTCGGGTCGGGTTGTGACCGGTCAACTCTGCTCCAAAACCGGTCATTTGGACCATCCCCACGCGCAGTGGCGGCGCGTGGGGTCACGTGGACCCCTTCCGGCTGCCTAAAAATCAAGGAAAAATTCTTAAAAATTATTTTGAGCGATTCCGAGATACTTACAAAGCTCAGTTCACAATTTTGAACGGCGGAGAGCTCGATTTCAACGAATCAGAAACTTTGATCGCTTCACCTCCTCACGCGCCGCCGTCGACGGAGACCAAGGATGACACCGGCGGACTCGGAACGATGCAAGGAACACGATGGTGCGGGAGGTGTCGTAAACGGATGACCCGATCGCCGTGAATCGATGAAAAACCAACTAAAATCGAGTTATTACCGACGATACTTCCGACTGAAATTAAAGACGAACGGCGACGATTCACGACGAAAGGCTTGAGGGGTTTTGTTCCTTGGTTGACAACGAACACGATGGTGGTTTCGGCTCGTCGATCGGAGGTCAGACGGCGAGTAGATCGGAGTTGGAAGGAGGGTTGTTGGAGAAGAGAAATCTGGAAAATATGAAACCTCTGCACGGGGAAGAGCTTATAATTCATCATATATAAGAAATGGTTAAATCATAGGTTTAGCCACTGAATTTCCTGCACTTTATAAAACTGCATGCCAACTTTAAAACTTTACAATTTAATCCTCAATTTCTTCCAAAAATACCAATTAAATTCACCACTTTATAATTTCTTAAATTTTAACCCCTAAATTGGGGTGTTACAGATGAAGCTGCTACTCAGCATGACTTGTTGGGTTTCTTCAACTTTGCGTCCCATTTGTTTAAAACATACTTCATTATCTAATGCAATGGTGAATCTAAAAATCCTTTTAGGGTAGTCATAAATATTTAACAACATAAAATTTTTAAATACAATTGGTACAAATAAATTTTAGAGTAGGTATTACCCGTAAAATAAATAACTAATTGATTAAAGTTAATATTTTAATGTGGGCATAAAAATTTCAGGGAGAACATTATTAATAAAATAAATAACTAATTAAAGAAAATTCAAATTTCAGCATGAACACATGTATATCTTCACCAAATTGTGACTCCAGCATTGAAGTAATGTACACATAAATCACACCTTGAACGTATGCTATATTTAAATAAAAAATTATTTCTAACTTTTGATTATGTAAGTATTGTAGCCTTTATTTTTTAGAGTATTTTGATTTTAACATTTTATTTTGAAGTAAAAAGTTTTAAAATAGATAAAAATAGTTAGTGGATAAACGATTAATACTCTAAAATAAGAGTCTTTTGCCCTAAAATTAAATATTGAGATTAAAATGCTCGAGGAAAAAAATAAAATGACTATTTAGTCCAATGATAAACACTTTATTTTACCTTAAAAATGAAATTTTAAAATTAAAATACTTCAAACAAATAGGAGCTAAAATAATTATTTAATTAAACATTAAGAGTAGTTTTCTATATTGTGCCTAAAATATTATAAAACAATTAGATTTAATATTATTTGACTCTGTAAATAAAATTGCTTTAAAAAATGTGAATAATTTTTTTTAGCTGTAATTACTTATAGCTACACAAATGTATAAACTAACAATGCATAAAAAATATAAATTCTATACTATATATATATATATATATATATATATATATATATATATATCAAAACTTCAAATATTTAACTGTATTTCTATACTAAAAATTCTGATAGAATTTCATATATTAATAACTACTAAAAGAATTTTATGTGTAGATGCCATTTGAGATTACCTTAATTACTAAAAGTTAGTACTTTTGACTGATTTTTAATTTATAGCATTTGCTTAAGTTTCAAATAAACTTTCCAAGGTACAGGAGCAGGCTGCCAGGACCGGCCATAATGTGCAGATATTTTCACGTGTGAGATGTAAAATTTATTTAAAATTTTTAATATAATAATTAAACGTGTTTACACGTAAATAAAGTTTTAAAATTACTTCATAATATATTAAAAATCAATTTAAGATTTTTATATGCATAAATAAAAAGTAAAATGTTAAGAAGTATCGATTAAGATAAAAAAATGTTATCAATTTAAATATTGAATTATATTCTAATGATAATGACACACGAGAGAATGATAAGTCATTTTAATCGATAATAAGATTATATAATATTATGATATTATATTTGTTTACTTTATTATAATGTAATATTATTTTTTATTATTAAATTTTATGAGCATCATTACAAAAAAAAAATTCAAGGATACCGATTGTGAGAAAAAGAAATAAATAATTGTGGCGTAGACAAGTTTGATTTTTATAAAAATGAAATGTTCACTTTATGTTTTGATCTACATCAATTTCTCAAATTTTGATTTGTAATTATTTAATTTTCAAATATTTTATATTTATATATTTAAGTTACTTTGTAAAAAAATGTAATTTTTAAATAATAAAAAGAAATTTATATGTATACATGCAACATGTGTTGACGAAAAATAATTAATAAAAATATGATAATACATATGAGAGAATAATATAGTTTAAAAAAATGAAATTTATCATATATTCCTACTTGATGAAAAGTTTAAATATAGTTAAAATAATATATATTAAAATAAATAATTAAAAATTATGAGGTATTTTTGTGGAGTTGCTATTAGTAAGTTGTTATTTTTCTTAGAAAAAGGAGAGAGCAAATATTGACAAATTTTATTTTATTCTTATAGTTTATTTTGATGGTTTTAGTGGATGGTCATTCTTTTCCCTAATTATAAGTCGGTATTATTTAATGTTCAACTCTAGTGTTATTTATAAATCTACTTATTTATTTTCAAATTAAAAAATACAAAGGCTAAATTGCTTAGTAACAGAGAGTAATCTACTCTTAATAGTATCACTAGCGCCGAACATAAGATTTTATATTAAGGGACGTTATAAAATCTTAAAGGATGCATACTTAAAAAATCCTAGAAGGGTGAAAACAAAATTTTAATAGATAATATAAAACAATAACTAAACTATATAAAAATTTAAAATTTTTAAAAATAAATCACCTCCATCCGTCCGTCTATCCCTCCATTAGTTTACATATAATCTTAGAGCATAAGAATCCATGGAATAATATAACCTAATTAATGATACTAATACTTAAATTCGATTAGTTTTGTATTTCATACACCAACATTATATATCTTTTTATATATATGGATGGTGTATAATTTTATATTAAAATATGAATTTATAAAACTTTAAAAACATTTGGAGTTTCGTACAACGATTCTCATCCATCCCTGTTTCTGAGTGAATTGAAGAAGCTGCTCCTCTTTTCCAGGTTACAGCAGCTTTAAGAGAGTCTGGACTAGAATCATCTAACCTCATAATTGGAATCGATTTCACCAAAAGCAATGAATGGACAGGTAACATTTATTTGGGTTGAATTTGGCATGGATTTGATGATAGAGATATGTGCCAACACTTGATTTATTGAAGGCCAAGTATCGTTCAATCGCCGGAGTCTGCATGCACTGGGTGATACACCAAATCCATACGAGAAAGCCATCTCCATAATCGGGAAGACCCTGGCTCCGTTCGACGACGACAATCTGATACCTTGCTTAGGCTTTGGCGATGGTATATCACATCTGCGTCTGCATTGTTTCTTCCTGCCTCTTAAATCTTATTTATCAAGTGTTGTTTTTGGTTGAAATTGTGTCAGCAACCACGCATGATTCACAAGTGTTCAGCTTTCACACTGATCACTCATCTTGCCATGGCTTCGAAGAAGTCTTGGATTGTTACAAGAAGATTGTTCCAAACTTGAGACTATCAGGTTGCCTTCTATAACTTGGTTTTCCAATAATATTACATTTTTCATAATCATGTCAAATCATCAAGAATAAAAGATTAGATGCATAAACCTACATGAATTAATTTTTATGATGGTGTTCTTCCGATAAGATAAGTTTTTTCTTATCATAAAAACTTTCTGACGGGATAAGAGTAATATGAATTAACCTATTTCTTGGAGAACACTAGTCCTTATATAAACTGAATAGTAGATCAATTTTGTAAGTACTTATAATTCTACCCCTTGTTAAATTATATATACGAACTATGTTCTGTATACTTTAATTTAACTATACCTTAATACCTATGACACATGTAAACATAATTGGTCACTTAATTTTGCGTCATATCTTATGATAGAATTTTGAGTAGTAATATATGTTGTCCCATACTCGTAGGGCCAACTTCATACGCACCAGTAATTGATTCTGCCATCGACATTGTGGAAAACAGTGGCGGCCAATTCCATGTGTTGGTTATCATTGCAGATGGGCAGGTCCTATATCTCATGCCTGCTTTTCTCCTTGCAACTACCATTTTTTTGCTTTCTTTTTTTCATTCACTTGATGTATCTACCTTTGGTTGTTGATCATGAAGGTCACACGAAGTGTTAATACGAGTGACGGAGAGCTGAGTCCACAGGAAGAGAAAACAATCAACTCAATTGTTGATGCGAGGTTGGACCTTAGTTCAGTGCAAATTGTAGGACTTTTGATTGATGTCATGGTAGGTTATTTTAAGCATATTGAGCTGACTTCAGGACTTTTTGTTCAGCTCATACCCACTGTCGATTATCCTCGTTGGCGTGGGTGATGGACCTTGGGATGATATGAAGAAATTTGATGATAAGATCCCTGCGCGCGGCTTCGACAATTTCCAGGTTTTGTTTCTTATCTTTTATGACATACTTCGCTTATCTATTTTATTATTTTGTACTTATCGGTACCAATTATCTATTTTGCAGTACATAGTTCTTACATACAAAAATCGTGATTATAATATATAGATTAATATTTGACACAACATAAACTTCAGTAAGTGTTTCTCTCTTGTTTATACATGCATGCAGTTCGTCAACTTCACTGAGATTATGTCGAAGAATACAAGTTCGGAAGAGAAAGAAACAGCTTTTGCTCTGGCTGCACTCATGGAGATCCCTTTCCAATACAAAGCAGTGATGGAACTTGGTATTCTTGGGTGAGTTTTATGTGCTAAGCTTCTTTTATTATACCAGTAGTTTGAGTCCTTGTAATTTGTGATAACTTATTAAACGTGTTTAACAAATTAGACAACGAACTGGTAAAGCAAAGAAAGTGATTCCACGTCCTCCTCCGGTTTCCTATCGGCCAACTGCTCGGCCAGAGGCGCCTGTTGCAACCAATGTCTCATCCACGCCTGCATTGGATGAGCAAACTCAGGTATGCTCAAACCTTGCACTAATTTACTGATGGCATAATACCAAAAATATGCTTTCAACATTCTATTAAAAATCGTTTTGGCTTTATTTTTTTAAAGAATTTTAGTCCCGATGCATTTGACTAATAGTCACTTTAGCCTTTATTCTTTTTTGAAGTATTTTGGCCCTAATAGTTCATTTTGGGACAAAAATATCAAATTAGAGCAATAACGTTTGATGACTAACGGTTTATTTGGTGACATTTTTACCCAAAATGAATTATTAAAATCTTTAAAAATTATGGGTTAAAATAATTATTTAAAATAATCATTTAAAAATTATGGGTTAAAATAATCATTTTGGTTCTTTTATTTTTTAAGTATTTTAGTCCCAATGCATTCAACTAAATAATCACTTTAGTCTTTATTCCTTTTTGAAACATTTTGATCCTAATAGTTCATTTTGGGACAAAAATCTCTAATTAAAGTATTAACGTTTGATGACTAATGATTTTCATCTATATAGTGTGTCCTTTTTACCCAAATGAAATATTAAAATCTTAAAAAATTATAGGTTAGAATAATTATTTAAGTAAATGTTAAGGGTTTATTATTATTATTATTATTATTATTATTATTATTATGCATTTATTGATTTGGTATTGCATGCTTTTTAACTGTTGGGGCATATGTAATTGTAGGCATGCCCAATCTGCCTTACCAAAGCCAAGGACTTGGCCTTTGGCTGTGGACATATGGTAAGTTACATTAAATCCTTAATTTTGGTTGATTTATTAATTAAATCACATCAGTTTCATTGATTATTATTATTATTATTATTATTATTATTGCAGACTTGCAGGGAATGTGGGTCAAAGGTGTCCAACTGTCCAATATGCCGACAAAGGATTACTAATCGTCTCAGGTTGTTTACTTGATTTCCGTATTATTATGACTTTTATGTACAGACAATGTACGTAGTTAAGGGAAGATTTATGTATGTTAATGCATTTTGAAAATACTAATTTGTACAAAGTATTGAAAGCATTGGTTTGAAGAATCTCTTGTTCCCTTTAGCTTTTTGTGTATTATGCTATTCCATATATGCTTTGAATAAATGGAAGTATGTTATGTGATCCATGCATGTAATATCGACATATCCCTTTTTTGATTTATTCCTTTTTGTTAGTGAACTTCAGATGGCTTCATATACAATTTATATATTAGATATTTTTTATATAAGACTAATGGAGGTTGAAAACGATTCACCAGCAATAATTTTGAAATCTTTGAAAAAGAAATGAGTTTTTGAAATAGACTTAATAGAGCATACAAAATTAGTCTTGGAGTCTTCATGACAATAGACATTTTTGAAAATATTAACATTACCTAGTACAAAAAATATGAATGAATGAAACAAATAATGTAAAACCCCGAAAATCGGGTTTGTAATTTTTTTTGTTTAATGTTGAGCTTAAAGTGTTAACTAAGCCTAATTTAATCAATTGGATCAAGAAAGAAGAGAATTGGAGTGTCGTACACCATTGAATTGGTATGGGCTTAAGGATCAGGATGTTCTTGGTCCTGATTTGATTAAGGAGGTAGAAAATAAAGTTCAAGTGATTCAACATAATCTCAAAGTGGCAGCCGATAGACAAAAATCATATGTTGATTTAAAAAGAAAGATATTGAGTTTGAAGTTGGAGACAAAGTATTTTTCAAAGTCTCTCCTTGGAAGAAAGTGTTATGTTTTGGTCGGAAAAGAAAACTTAGCCCTAGATTCATTGGCCCATATAAGATTGTTAAAAGAGTCAGACCGGTGGCGTATCAGTTAGCATTACCATTAGAGATGGAAAAGATCCACAATGTCTTTCTCGTGTCTATGCTTCAGAGATATCGATCAGATCATGCACACATCATCACACCGGATGAAATAAAAGTTCAATCTGACCTGACCTACGAGGAAGAACCAATACATATTTTAGTATATGAAATCAAGCATCTAAGGAACAAGACGATTCTGTTAGTTAAAGTTCTCTAGAGAAATCATAAAGTAGAAGAGGCTACATGGGAGCGGGAAGAAGATATGAGGCGACAATATCCCCACCTCTTTGTGCAATGAAAATTCGAGGATGAATTTTATTAAGGGGAGATTTGTAACACCATAAACATCGGGTCAGTGATAAAAATGTAAGAAATTAAAATTTAGTGGTTAAATTCGAATAAGTTGAAAAGTTCAATGATTAATTTTGGAAAATTTTGTTTAGGGCTTATTAGCAAAGATGGAGGACTCAAAGGGAAAAGAGGACTTTTGGTTGGAAATGAATTTAAAATTCATTTTTAATGAGATATTTAACATGTGGGTAATTGGATAAGAAAGATATATCGGGAAGCTTGGTTTTTTCATTCTCTTCTCGTGAGCCTCCTTTGCAAAAGTGAGTTACTTTCAAGTTGGTTGGTTCTTCAAATTTTGGTTTGGTTTTGAAGAATTAGGTGATATATAAGCTTAAGGAAAACTTTAGGTGGATTAAAACTAAAAGATGAGTGAATTAATGATGAATATGTAAAATGGGTCTTTAAGGGAATTGTTGCTATGATTTAGTTTTTGGATTTCTAGTGATAAATTTGACTTGTGAAGGGTCTAATTAAAGAGTTACAAGGATTAGAAAGGATTTAGAACATGTTTGAATAAATGACATGATTTTTAGTTTTAAGAATTCCATAGGGAAATTTGGATGTTATAAGATGATTATTGGAAATATGTTGATTAGGATAAGTGTTAATGAGTTTGAGGAGTTGAATGGAGCTAAGAGTATGAAGTTTAGACAAATTTGAGAAAAATTCGAAGTGAACTAAATGAAATCTGGGCAAAGGACATCGGTACTGGAAGAACAATATCGATACTATAGTGTTAAATCGAATGAAAAAGGTTGAATTCGATAAACAATATCTGTACTAATTGAATTAGTATCGATACTGAAGTGGGGTATCAATGCCAAGAGTAAAGTATCGATACTATTATTAAGTTTGAGATTCCAGAATGCCAAAATGGTATCGGTACTAATGGGGGTATCGATACCATAGAGGAGAGGTATCGATACTATAGGAGAGGTACCGATACTACTGCGTTGGAAATTTAAAGAGTGAGTTTTAGTTTGTCTTTGTAAATGTTAATTTGGTTATACATTAATGTTAAGTGGTATTGATATTGGATATATCTACGTGTAGATTTGGATCAGAAGCGTATCAATCAAAGGGATTTGCCGAAGTGATTTAGTGAATGATAAAAAGATACCGTTTAGGACTTCAATGAGGCAAAGGTGAGTGCAACTCATTTGTTTTATATTAGATTTGAGGGTGACTTGCGATAATCCAACCTCATAATTTTCGATCGAAAACCTTTCTATTTTTTATGTTATATTTTTTACAATGTTTTATTCAAGTTATACTACTTAAGCTATGTTTTGATGTTTATATGTACATGATTATAAAAATCTAATATGTGAATATGCGTATATAGAAATGCTTGATGTGAAAATGCCTATGTGAACAAGATACACTTTGAATAATAAAATAATAAATAATTATGTGGTTAAAATCCCAAGGTATATGTATGATAATTAGAGGTACAATTGACATGCCAAGAGTTGAGGGTTCTATGTGGTCATTCGGGAAAATCCTATGTGGTCCTTCGGGACAAAACTATGTGGTCATTTAGGAAAAATATGTGGCAGTTCGGTGTAAATTATGTGAGTTGTGGTGACAACATTAGTGCACAACCTCAATGTACTCAAATACCTAGAGTTCTCAGTAATATGCATTGGGCTATTGAAAACAAAGTTGTATAAACCGAACAATGTGTAAAAGTATACAATATTGTTATGAAAAGCAATTTGAATCCCTTATGAAATGTTTCTATGAAATGATAAAAAAATTTAGTTTACAAAGTTTTATTTGACTCGTACATGCCTCACTAAGTCAACGACTTAGCGTGTTATTGTTTTACACATAGGTTTGAAGAAAACATAGGATTAAAGATAGGCGAGAACAATATACTACTGCAAAAGATCATATCAGAACAAATTAAAGCATAGGTTTCTTGTTAATTGTAAATTGTTGGCATGTATTACAAGCTTTAAATTGTAATACTCTGATATATTTTCTAAGCATAAACTTTTTGTAATTATGTAAATTATTAAGTATTTTATTTAAATGTGAATGTGCATTTTCATTATTTATTTTAATTCCAGGGTTCCACCATATTTAATACAAATAAAAATCTAAAATGTCCACTTCTTTTTAAGAGTCAATGATTTAAAAAGTTAATGTGACACCTCGGATTCGTATCAGGGTTGGGTACGGGTTAGGGGTGTTACAAGGTCGATTTGAGTTAGAACATAACCTATGAGGAGGAACTAATCAGGATCCTAGCTAGAGACATCAAGGAATTGAGAAACAAAAGGATCCTATTGGTGAAAGTTTTATGGAGGCACCATAGTGCAAGGGAAGCGACATGGGAAGTCGAGGAGGATATGCAACTTCAGTATCCTCGTCTTTTATATTTTGGTAAATTTTGAGGATGAATTTTTTTCTTAAGAGGGAAGAGTTGTAATACCCTAAATTCTAGGTTAAGAGTTTCGGGTTTATCCAATCAGGCCTTAAAATAAATTCCCTTAGCTCATGGAAGGTTTGACCCAAGTAGATTTTAGTTTGGGTCTTAAATAAGCCCAAAAATAGATAAAAAATGATGTTTTTAATCATGAACCAAAAGAGGAAGGACTAAATGAGTAAATAACCATTTTCAAAACAAGGCCGAATTCCAATTAATTAGGATGATATCACCGTCTGTGCCAATCTCTTTTTCCTTACGAAAGCTTGTCTTCTTAATATTCCTTCTCATCTTCTTTCTTTCCAAGTTAGGGCAAAGGTCCAAGCTTTTAATTTTACAATCTTATATCAGAATTCCAAGGTAAAAATCAAAACCTACTCGTCCTAAGCTTCGATTTAAGCCATCAAAACCAAATTTAGGTCTTAGAAACCAAATGTAACACCCTTAACCCGTATACGTACCCAAATACGAGTCAAAGATATCACAAAGCTTTACATACATTATATGGTTGAAAACCCAATACAAATTTGAAATTTTAAAGTTTATCTAATAATCCCTTTAATAAAATAATATAATAACGTTTAATCATATTATAATATTTAAGTAACCAAATCAATATCAATTTTAGGCAGCAACTAGACAGTTCTATATTGTTTCCTATCATAATGTAAACTGCCTAATAACTGTCTAAATTAAAATAATTCTTTATTCTCGTAAAACATAATTTTTATCTAAAACATAGAACTTAGATTCATATTTATGCCCATAATAACCTACCATAGACATTTCTTATTCTTATGCATTTCATCTAGAAAATTTAAAAATAGTAGGATGTCATTACTGATACATGTAATTACTCTTTGTTGATTGATGCCAACTCAGCTCCTTACTTCACTTGCTCTTCTTTATCTACAGTGAAAATCATCTCACCTAAACTTAGTGAGGCATTATAAACAATCTATATTATGTAAAACATTAAACAATTTAACAACGTGCAAACCATTATTCGCTTATATCAAACTTAAAATATCGTAACAACTTAAAACATTAAACTTAAATTCAAATAAAATCATTAAATATCCAAACCGACTTATTCGATTCATTTTTCCTCATCACAACCTGAAAACCATCATCTCATGATTTTTTCATAACCATGATAAGCATTATTAGACGTAACAATAATGTCATATTCTTTTACATTCAGATATTTTCAGAAATTTCATATTTCATATTTCATTTTCATCTTTCACTTTCATATTCATTTACATAACAAGTATTTTCACATTTCAAAATTCATTTTCTGAATTATAACTTACTTTCATATTCATAACTTAATTTTAGATTCATAGCTTACTTTCAAATTCATCACCCAATGCATATTTATGAGAATGCAAGGCACATGAGTCATACATAATGTGCGCACTACGCACTACATAGTTCCAATCATTATC